CTCCCTCCCCTCTTCCCCCCTCCCGACGAGGGGCGGGAGGGGGCGTGGCAGGGCCTCGGTTTGTGTAGCTGCTGCCGGGCTCCCCGCACTCGGAGTCTGCAGGAGGAACGCGGCCCCCGCCGCTGTCCAGCTGCTCTGTGCCTTTCGCGCCCGGCGCCGCCGCCGTCGCCGTCGCCGCCGCCTCTCCGGGAAACTCAGTCACTGGCTCGCCATGGACTCTCCTAGGGTCCTGCTCTTGGCGATCTTCCTCATCAGTTTCTTCTGGGATTTGCCGGGTTTCCAACAGGCTTCCATCTCTTCTTCCTCCTCCACGGAACTGGACTCCACCAAAGACGTGAGGAGCCGCAAAGAAGGGAAGATGCCGAGGATACCACAAGAGAGTGCGGAGGGACGGACGCCCCAGGAGCACCAGCCGAGGCAGAGCGAACTCCGGCTGCGGCCGCCTGCACAGTCTCAGGGGCAGGAGCCTCCGGGCAGGGGCCCGCGCGTGGTGCCCCACGAGTACATGCTGTCAATCTACAGGACTTACTCCATTGCCGAGAAGTTGGGCATCAATGCCAGCTTTTTCCAGTCTTCCAAGTCAGCTAATACGATCACTAGCTTTGTAGACAGAGAACTGGGTAAGTGGCAAAGAAAGCGCCGGACTCCTCTCCCGCTGGAGCTCCTCAGCCAGAGCGCTGCCGGGCTCTGGCAGGAGGCTGCTTTTGTGAATTCCCAACCCATTTTGGACACCTCCCCTTTTTTTTTATTTTCGCAAGCCCAAAATTCCGAGTGCAGCTGCAGATTTGCTCCAGTCTGCAGTCCTCCCCTTACTCTCTCTCACTTTTCTTTTCTCTTTTTCCTTCTGTGTTTTCTCGTCTGTTGCCGAAAGCAGCGTGGTGGTCGCTGGTCTAGTAGCTAGAGGAGGAAGCGTAGAGGGAGGGACCTGGTGGGCAAATGATGGGAGATGGAGAAGGGTCAGAGAAAGGACTGAGGGACCCAGTGGTCAAAGCTCGTGAGGGATGCTGGCCCTAGGGCATCTGTGAGGGCATTAGAAAGCATGGAGCCTCCTGTCTCCCAAGGAAAAGCGGCGCAAGGTCGAGGGAGCAAGGGAAAGAGTCTAGGATCAGTGTGACAGGCAGTGCCTTGATCCAGCGGTCTTGTGGGTTCTCCTGGAGCCCTGTGCTGGTTGTGAGGGACACCAGTCCCGTAGGCATCTAGTCCCTTCCGGCACCATGTTTTCTGTTACATTTTTTCTTTTGCTTTTTTTCTTCTTCTTCTTCCTATAATATCGCACACCTGATCGGTCTCAAGCCAGAGTCCACGGGACGGGCACAACCTGGGATCGCTGAAAGTGTGGGGCTCTTGGGGTTTAGGGTACCGCAGGAGTGCACGGATCCGCCTTTCTCAGACAGACTTCGCTCTTCTCTCCGAGCGTCCGGGGATCCAACCCTCACCCCCTGCTCCAGGCTGGAAGCACCGGTCTATAGGCTTCCGAACTTACCCTTCTTGCTCTCATCACTGATCTACAACATGGCCAATGTCTTCTGATTAAACCTCAGATATTGGGGAAAGTTCCACTGGCTTCTAGAGAGGAAAACGTAATTCAGAAAAGCAGGAAGGGGAGGGGGTAGAGAAAAGGAAAGGACGGTGGACAGAGGGAAAGGTACCGAGAAGGTAAGAGGCGCTAAGAGATTCGGGCAGTCTTTGCTTGTCATACCCCAGACTTAGCTTCGCCTGTTCCTAAACCCGCAGGCTAAGGTTCAGTGAAAGTATCCAGAAACCCAAGAGCCCCAGAGCTGGGCAGAGGGACCAACTCAGCTTCATCTATCGCCTTAATGACTCTCACATTCTCGAACCTTTCCAGAGTGGGCTAATGTCCCCCTCGCCCACCTGCCCCAAGCCTGACTCGATCTCCAGCCACCAGCCGTCCCTGGAAGCTGCTTTCCTTCTCTGCCAAAGTTCTAGCCCCTGCCAGGTATGCAGCTGCAATCTGAGGTCAGCGGGTTATGAGCTGCTGACAGGACCCGACGGCACATTAACGCCGCCGTATTTTATGACGATTTTAGGGATAATAAAGTCACCTTTACAAAAGCACGTGGCTTCTTCGTGTTGCTGCTACGAGGTCTCATACCTGGGTACTCCAGCTCAGCGCCAACGCCTTCCTACCTCTGTTTGCAGCGCTATTTCTCGCCCTGCAACTTCCCAGTTAACCTCTCAGTGTTTCTAAGACCGTCGCCAAGGGAGAGGTGATGGAAGGTCCGAGAATACTGCTCTAAGGGAAGAAATCCTAGAGGCCTAGGCTAGCAGGCGATTGGGTACTCTCTTCTTTTCCTGGGAAGTGACAAGGTCTCCTCTCCTACCCCAGGAAGGCACTCTTATTGGTTCACTACTCCCTGAAAGTTGGCACAGAACCAAGGGACACTGGCGGCTGTTCCAAGGTATCTATAGAGGACTTTGGAATTTCGGAAAGCAGGAAAGGCTGTTTCTGGGGCCCTTGGACCTGCAGAGACTCGAGCACTCATCAGCCCTTGTTTGTCCTCCGGTACCCACACACCTTGGAACCCTGCTGGGAGCCCCCCAGGCTCCTCCAACTCCAAATGGGCAATAGGGAGTGGAGGTACACTGTTCCCTGGCCATCGACGCTGCGAGGTCAGCAGGATTGTAGATTTAACCTCAGAATGCATGCACAGGGCTGTCAGAGGTCCCTAGTTAGGCGCACCAAGACCCACCGAGACGGTAGCTGTGAAGGTTCTCTCTCCTCCTCATCTTCTGAGTTTGAAGGAAACTGTAACTGTATGAAGGCTGCTAGGACACTTGGAAGGATGTGCTGCTTGTAGCAAGCCGCCGCGCGGGTGTAAAGGAGCTGGGGGTAGGGAGGGGGGCAGAGAGGGACTGGAGGGGCGCGCGGAGGAGGGGCTGGATTGCTGGCTGCAGCCCCAGCTTGATAAAGGGAAAACCTCACTTTCCCTCTCACTGATTTTGATTTGATGTGTCACCGGCGGTGACCTCGGGTTGGACCTTCCGGGGCTTGCTTAGCCTTGGGCCCCTGATTGGAGTGTTTCAACTCAGCGATCTAATTGAGGGTTCATGTCATAACACATCAAACGGTGTCTAGTCTCCCGTGATGGAAGGGACCCACTAACCGCGCATCCCCGGCTTCTGGCGAGGACTTCCGCCCCTCTCGCGCGGGGGTTCTTAACGTGCCAAACTCTCCGGCATCCCCTCCCCCAACCCCCAAGTGGGTAGGCAAAAAAGAAAAGGGCCAGCCAGGAGAGGAGCTGGTCGTGCTAACTTGGCGCCTTGCCTAGGGGAGGTTTAAATCGCCGCAGAGTAGTAGGCTGGGATCCGAGGAGCCAGTGTCCCTCCAGGGGAGGAGCCTCGAAGTGGGCTCATAAGCTCCGAGAGACTCCTACAGAATTGGTTAAAGGTCTTGTTCACCTGAGAACTTCAAAGTTAAACCTGAAGCTGGTGTTTGGGTTTGGGAGGGCAGTAACAAGCCCCGCGCCAAGTGAGCAAAGAGAGTGACGGTTCCACAGAAACACCGTGACCTTCTCTACTGTCCGAGTGCTCCTCCCGGTTCCATTAATCCCAAGCGGCCTTATTGAGAGCTTTGAAAAGGCCCTGGAATGGTAAATAACAGTAGCCAAGATAGGTTGACCTTTCAGTGCGGGCCAAGTACTATGATAAAAGCTATAACATGAATGAGCTCTTTTAGTTCTCGGCTACCGTTTCTGCATTGCTTTAGAGGTGAACTAGAGAAATGGAGTTGCTCATGGTCACACAACTGATGAGAAGTGAGACTGGGGTCAGAGTGCAGGCACTGAATGCTAACGCAGGACGTTATATGGATAGGGTAAGGACAAGGCGCTTTCTAGGAACCCTGATGAGACACAGAAGTAAAAGACAAATAAAATTGAGATTTTCTTTCCGGTTTAATGTTCTTCCATAGTGCTTAAAGGTTCAACGAGTAGGTTCTCAGGGAATGTGGGTACAGGGGTCTGAATATGTATTGTGCCTGGTTTTCTCTTGTATTTATTTAGTAGAAGCTCAAACTACTTTGTGAATGATCCTTTAACAGGCTTTCACGTCGCACCTCAAAGCTTATTTCAGAGAAGTAGAGAAGAGAGGTGCATCTGTGTGTTGGTGGGGAGCTGAGACCAGGTTAGGCATCACGAACCCACAAAGACCACAGTCCCAGGGTCCTGGGGTTTGGTCAAGGCAGACAATTAGAACTGAGGAGAGAAGGTGGAGAAGTGGCGAGAGGGGAGAGAAAGAGGGAGCCTTCCTTGCAATTACTTGGTAAGTGCCACCTAAAAAAAAGAAAAAAAAAAACTCTCAAGGATTCAAAGATGAAGGAAAAGAACAAAGCGAGTCTAGGAATACTTGTATGGGCTAGGTTTCCCAGAGACTGTGAATTAAGAACAGTTGGTAGTATTGCGTGTGTGCTGTTGTTTCAAGTCTGCTTACAGAAAGAAGATAGCAAAGAGCAGATAACCAAAGAGGAGATAGAAGGGTCTTTAGGGGCTGGATACCTTTATAGGTGAATCCAGGAGCGTTTGCTTCGGGTTGCTTACTAGTTTCTGTGGTTATCTTCAGTTCAAAGATTACAAGGAGGCAGGGGTGTGCTAGGCACAGACAGACTTGAGAGAGGGGGGGCATGCTAGAGCTTCCTTGCTTCCTGCTGCATTGTGTTGATGCAGAACCTTGCAGAACCCTTGCAGAACCGTGGGTTTCTGCGTGCAGTAATCAACACAGCAGTGCTAGCTCTTTTGCCTGGACCCTGTTGTAGTTGGCAAACGGAAAATGAAATATAAGCAGGGAAGTATTTTAATGGGGACGGAGGGAATTCGCAACTGTTAATTATTTGGTGACCTTGTATTCGATTTGTTTGAGTCCCTTATAAAAACACTAATTCATACCAGACGGCCAAGTGAGGAAGCTGGGCAGAAGGTTCCAATCTAGGCTTTATTTCCCCGGAAAGAGAGAACAGCCTTGGAGAGAGCTGGCTAAGCATGCAAGTGTGTGTATTTGAGGGGTGCCAGCAGAGGACCGGGCACAGGGCTGGCTTTGTGGTTCGTGCTGAAGGGTCTTCCCTAACAGGAAAAGCCCTGGGGAAAACCCTCCAAAGTTTGTCTTTCTCTTCAGGTTGTAATGATTCAGGTACATTTAAGGCCACAAACCAACCCATAGGCTTGTAGCTCAGCACCATCACTGTGTTCAGATGCTTAAGGCCACCAAAATGGAAAAGCAAGATGCTAAAAGGACCTAGCATCTGTGTGGCTAGTGTGCAGGTTGCAGGAGGATTCTTAGTGTGAAAGGCTTGCCAGACAACATCAAAGGTAACCCTCCTCTCTGGAGCCTTGAGGCTTTGGGGCTTTTGCCCAGGGTAAATGGCTGGTGGGGGAGGGGAAGAAAAACGTGCTCAGAATCCTCCGTTTCTGCACATTAAGTAAAACAAAATTCCTCTGAGCCACGGACCCTGTAGTTTTGTGGACTGTCCCTTTTCTAAATGGATCTTAAAAATCCTTTCTGCCCAGAACACCTGTCCCTGGATCCTCTGGGAACTGGGAATGCCGGTCTTGCATGGAAAGGAAGCTTAGTATAACCCGGTTCCCTGGGCAGGAGTTCTGGGGTGATA